TGTGTGTGTGTGTGTGTGTGTGTGTGTGTGTGTGTGTGTGTGTGTGTGTGTGTGTATACATACATGTGCAGGCATGCAGGTGGAGGCCAGACACCAATGCTGGCTGTTGCCCCACAAGCACCATGCCCATTTAGCTAGGACGGCTGGCTTATGAGCACTAGGGACCTTCCTACCTCCACCTAGCCAGCTGTCAGATTACAAGCATAGGCCACTCTGTTTGGTTTTGTGTGTGTATGTGTGTGTGCACACTCACATTCATGGGTGTGGATATCCCTGTTCCCAGAGGTCAGAGGGTAGCCTCAGCAACCAGTCCTTGCCTTCCAACTTGTTTGCTACAGAGTATCTTTGATTTTCCAGCATATATGCCAGGATAGCTGGCCAGCAAGCTTCATGGAAATGTTCTCTCTACCCCCATCTTCCCAAACCTAGATAATGAACACTAGAACACTAGATTAGAACACTAGATTATGCATGCCCATTCTCTGCATCTAGCTTTCATGTGGATCCTGGGGATTAAAACTCAAATCCTTACATTTGCATGGCAAAGATGCTCACTAGGCATCTTCCCAGACCCATTTTAAAGTCATGGGTCTATATATTGAACACAAGTCTTCTTGCTCCCAAGCCAAAGTATTTGCCAGAGGAATTGCCTCCCTGGGCGTCCCATTGTCTTCACCGTAAGCCACCTGCAACTCCTTGACCTGTTGTGGGAAGCCAGGGCCTGTGAGAGCTTGATTCTGTCCTGCCTCTACCCAACCCACTGGTGACCCTGAGCAGGTCCTTCTTATTCCTATGCCCAAGAATAAGTTGGCTTTGGTCTGGGTGGTTGGCTCAGATGACTTGAGTTTCTAGTTACAGGAAGAGGCAGACCTGGAGCATTCCCTGCCCGTCACTACCCCTTTCCAGCCCCCTGGAGCTCCTGGGGTCCAGCCTACAGATGTCACCCTCTCTGCAGATCTCACCGGGAAGCCTATCTGTGTGGTGAGAGACGAGTTCCCTCTGGCGTCCTTGACTCAGCCTCCGACTTTCTTATCCCCCTGTATGATGGGGATGCCCACCATTTCTGTCCCTATTGGGGACCCACAGTCTAATCGGAATCCTCAGCTTTTTTCTGGTAAGTACTTGGACCACACCCTTATACCTGGGGCTCATACCTTTCCCAAAGTGTGTGGTTGGGCAAGGGGCCTGAGAAGGAAAGAGCCATTGTTCTTCAACCAGGGTTCCCCCCTTTCCCTCATTTCCTGGGTCAATCTCATGCATTATTCCCCAGGCCCTAACCCTCAAAAAGTACACCTGCTACAGTTTGAGGAGTAAGAAAGAGCAGGAGTCAAGCCGATTTGGTCCATGCTCATGTGACTTGGAGCTAGAGGCAAGAGTGACATTTGTAATATTTAGCAACATGTACACTCAGGCAGTAGTTTATCAGAGCCTCCCGCTGTGACTTTGGAGGGACTCTGAAGGCCAAGCCCGACTAGCCAGGAAGGTTAGGTGTGGTAGAGATCCTGCTGAGGAGGGCGGCAGCCAGCGCTGGGAAGAGGAGTTTGAGCTGACTGCAGAACTATATCTGTCTAGAGAGTGGTTCAGTGTCTTAACAACAGGCATGGCTTGCTTCCCAAATCTCAATGCAGGCTCCAGATCAAACCGCTTGCATTTAGACAGAGTAGCCTAATGGCTTCAGCATCCCTCGGAGAGGACTCAAGGAGACTGCCAGCATTAGCAAATCCTCTTCTATGGTGGTTTTTAAGCCCGTCCCCCTCCAGAGCAGAAAGGCTTGCCAAGTCGGGGGCCACTTCTTCCTAGAACCTTTCCCCTCCATCCCAGTTCTGATAACACAGAGAGGGCAAACAGGGTCCCAAACTCTTGTCCTGTATCCTCAGACTCCTGGAAGGAGAAATTAAAGGACCTGGCTTCCCGAGTGGTTATCTTCACTAAGGAAGATGAGTCAAGGATCAATGAGGTCAGTGCTGAACAAAGGAGTGATCCTGGAAATGAAGCCTTTGTAAGTCCCCCCACAGTTCAGCTGCTGGCATGGGAGGAGAAGGGCCATCATAGCAGTGATGGTGACAGTGAAGGTCAAAGAGGCACAAAATCACACCTAACAGAGAGACCCAAGAAGTATCCTCTAGTCCAGCGGTTCTCAACCGTCATGATGCTGTAACCCTTTCATACAGTTCCTTATGTTGTGGTGACCCCCAACTATGAAATTATTAATGTTGCTATTTCATAATTGTAATATTGCTACTGTTATTAATTGTACTGTAAATATCTGATATGCAGGATAGTCTTATGTGACCCCTGAGAAAAGGGGTACACTCAGACAGTGTTTTATCAGAATCTCTGGCTGTGATGTTGGAGGGATTTTGGAGGCCAAGCCTGCTTTCCTGCTCCTAGGGTGTGGGAGAGCCAGGAGGGTAGGGTGCGATAGAGAACCTGTCAAACAGGGTGGCAGGCAGACCAATAGGGCTGAGAATCACTGCTGTAGGATCATCCAGGGATGCTTTGTGGGGGAAGACCTCTGAGCAGAAGCCCCCTGGCCCACCGTAGGACATCTTTAGAGAACAGAGCCTGGAGCACAGGGTAGAAGTAGACAGTGATGAGAGGTGAGAGGAGGCTGACTTTGAACGTGGGGAGGAAGAATTTCTTAGCTTCCCCAAAAAGGTGAGCACCCAATGTCAGCAGAGGTAGAGCATCGCTGGAGGTTTTCAGACAGAATGGAAAGACTTCACAGGTGCTATTCAGGGACAAGGTGGTAAGGGCAGGTGGCCTTGGCACAGACCTGGTCCTTTGTAACGAAGTGTGTTTCAGGCAACCTGTGTGTAGAGGTGAGGCCAACTAACTCATTATGGTGCTCAGGTAGCTCAGCTAAGTGTCTAGGTCTTGTTTTCTTTAAAATGTGGAGGAAAATGGGTGTGGCGGTGCACATCTCTGATGTCAGCTTTAGGGAGACAGAAGCAAGAGGATTACTGCAAGCTTAAGGCTAGCCTGCTTTACATAAGGCTTGTCAGAGCTGCTTCCTGAGGCTTTGTCTCAAACCAAATGAAAGCAAAGCAAAGAAAATAAATAAAAGAGATAGTACATGTTTTAGCTAGAATTAGAAAGGCAGGAGGATCTAAGCCGGCTTTTCACCCAGAGGTTTCCCAGGGCAGATGTCAAGAACTGGGAAGACAGTTCATTCAGAAAACACTTGGGGGGGAAAAAGCATGATGGAACACACATTTAATCCTCATAGGTAGAAACAGCCGAAATTTTGTGAGTTTCTGAGTCTGAGGCTAACCTGATCTACACAGTGAGTTCTAATACAACCAGCTCTATGTAGAAAGACCATGTCACAAACAAAACAAAAACAAAAAACAAAAACTTACCTTATGAGGACCTGAGTTCAGTCTTCAACACCTACTTTTAAAAGCCGTCGAGTTGGGGCAGGAAGCCTGGAGAGATGGCTCAGTGGTTAGGAGCACTGGTTGTTCTTACAGAGGATCCAGATTCAGTTCCCAGCATCTACGTGGTGGCTCACAACCATTCATAATTCCAGTTCCAGGGGATCAATAGCACACATGTGGTGCACATCCATACATGCAGACAAACACACACACACACACACACACACACAAACACACACACACACACACACACACACACACATAAAATTAAATAAATCTTTTTTTAAAAAAAACAACCTTGGCATAACAATGCATGCTTGTAATCTTGGCTCTGGGGCTCTGGGGAGGCAGGGACAAGAAAGTTCCAGGCCCGTGAGAAAGCTTGTTTCAGGGGTGGGGGACAAGGTGAGGAGTAACATGTGAAGTTGTTCTCTGATCTCCCTGCACATACATGCACACCTGAGCAGCCATGTGTGTACATGAAAATGCGAAACCCACAGGTATACACACACACGCACACATGGAGTGAGTGGAGTGGGATACAGGGGAGGGTGCAGAAGAAAGGATAACAAGTTTCGAGGAACAGAGCTCAGAAGAGGGGCAGCTGAGCCAGGAAAGAGGGTTGACATGGGAACCTTGACACAGGACACTACTCCCATACTTCTGATGTTTTGGAAGAGGAGACCACCTCTTCAACCTTAGGATGCTGATTTGGAATGCAGGGGAAGCCAGGCCTATGAAGGAGGGCCTGAGACAAGATGGAGACTGGCTTGATAGCATCCTAGGTCTCTGCTGGGATTTGAGGGAGGCAGCATGTAGTATGACCTGGTCTCCTCTTTGTATTTTCCCCTCTGGCTTCTCCCACCCTCACCAACAACTAGAGTCTCTGGTCAATTTTGTTCCAGCAGAAGGAAGAGCCTCCTCTGAGGGAACAGGGGGCGAAGTACTCAACCGAGACTGGTAGGCTTATCCCTGCTTCCAGCCTAGCCCTCAGCCGCCGCAGCCGCCATGGCCAGCGGGGAAACCCTTCTGGCAGAGATGGAGGAGCCTCCATTTTGCAGAACCAGGAGCTGCTGGTAAGCTGTACTCTGGAGGCAGGGACTGCAGTGGTCTCAGCCTCCAGGTTCCCAGGCCTTCCAAGCCATCGCCCTTCTGGTCAGCCTTTAGGAGGCTTCTCCAGAAACGCTGCCCCCGTAAGACTGTAAGACCAGAAAGACCCTGCCCCAGGAGTCAGCATCCTGGACTCTGAGCCCCTCTGCCTCTAGACAGCCTGTTGTCATCCTGACTCTTCTGTGTAAGTCCTCTCTCATGGGTCATTGGTCAAATTGGGAGCATGCATATGTTAACATTGCCTTTCTAGTGTCAATAAACACGGTTCTTGAGAGCCCTGCAGAGGGACTGAAAACCTAGGTGGAAAGGGCCTGCCTGCTGCATTCTCAACCCACAGCCTGCCAGGCTAGTCAGGACTGGGCCTCCCATGTTCCTTTTCTCATCAAGGCTTGAAATGATCCCCCACTGAGTGACATTTAGACAGGCTTTGGCAACCCCTGTGAAAATACGTGAGTGTTCCCCAGAACCAGTGTCACCACCTTCCTTTGAAAGGCAGTGCTTTGGGGCCCAGCGACATGGATAGATCAGACAGATCCCAGGATCCCCATTTAACAGATGAGGAGGTTTAGGCTCTGTTGGGTAGTATTCTGTGGCTCAGGTCCCCAAAGGATGACCAGCATAGCCAGGCTAGAACTGGTACTTTCTCCACCATAGGGCGGCCTCACCACACCTGGAGTTAGGGTCTCAGGTCTCATGGGGAGGGGGCGCAGGGCAGGTAAGGAGGATGGGAAGAATGGGGAAGGGCCAAAGGGCAGTTCAGGGTGGGACACCACTGCAAGTGAGTGCTGGGGGACTTGGGTGGGCATCTAGCAGGTACAGGCCTGAGGGAGAAGCCCAACCCAGTTTCTACTCCACCAAGGATTAGGTGGGCCTGCCAGGGTCTGATAGACCCCTCCAGGTCCTTGGGAAGGCTCAGGGCTCCACCTCCCACCTCGGGTTTCCCCTTCAGCCTTCCATAGCTCCAGCTGCCACCTGCACCTTGGCCTGGGAACTCCCCAGAGCACATCCCGGATACAGCTGGACCCTACCCTGCCGATGCTTGCCTGGAGGAGACAGGGGGAGCTACTGGCTGAGGAGGCAGATAGGAGCAGAGATTCCCTGCTGCTTCACTGGATGGAACCCCTCACTAGGCACTTGGCAGAAACAATCTACTCTGCTTACAGCAAACCCCTCACATGCTGGCTAACATCTCCAGATCCTTGGAACTCCCGGGTGGGAAGTCCCGTGGGGTCACAGCTCAAAAGATCCCAGCATGCAGGATTCGGTGCGTCTCTGAGGAGGAGACAGTCCAGCTCTGATTTAGCTGTCCCAGTGAGGGGCCCTAAGTTTCAACCAGCCCGATGGAGACTGTGGCACTGAAGGGGTCTGCCTGTCTGATACCTGAGGCTTGATTCTGTTCTGAAGTCCCCACCTGAAGTCTTCCATTCTCATGGCTTCACATTCTTTTCCTGCCCAGCAGGGGAGCTTAAGTGTGTCTCTCCAGAACAATTGTGAGAAAAAGCCCCTCCTCAAGTGCCGGATCCTAATGAGAAACCTATAGGGGAATCAGTTTAGCCAAGCATGTGGCCCAGGGGCCTCATGTCGAGGGGAGGAGCTTGCTATTTCCTGAACCCATATTTGGTTATGTGTCTGGCTAGAGTGTGACAGAGATGCCCATAGCCTGTCCTCCTATACACAGATCTTGGAGCTCCTTTGTCAGATTCTACAAACGGACTCTCTAAACAATATCCAGTTCTGGCTTCTCCACGCTTCACCAGAGGGTGAGGACACCAGAATGTGGCCTTTCTCTGTGTGGGGATGCCCTTGTTCTTGACCCTGCAGGACAGATATACTCAGCTTCTACCCCAGGGCCTCTCTCTTTTCCCTTAAGAGTTCCAAAGTATCCCAAAGGCTTCCAAGCATCCTTTCCACTTCCTCCCCTACTTCTCAGCAGGATTTCTGTGCCTCTATTCCTTGGAGGGGATCCTACTTTAGTACTGACCTCAGGCATGGTGTCTGGGATGGGGGGGAAAAACAGATTATTCCTACAGACACAGCTCCTCTTAGCTGTTGTAGAAAACATATGCATACAGGTGCAAATACAAAAAAACACAGCTTGCATACAAGAGCCCACAAGTACACATCTGCTCTGGGACAGTGTGGGGAGGATGCATCTCCAGGGAAGGTGTCTGGATGGGAGAAGGGAGTTGGGGTGGAGGGAGTAAATCCCAGCAGATTTCCAAATGTTGCCCTCCTAGGGGGAGTTTTACAGGCCGTTAGGGAGGTGGGAGATGGTGGAAGGAGACCGAGAACAAAGTGCATATGGGCTTTCCTAGTAGGAGAGGGTGCTGAAGGGATGAGAGCTCTGCTCCCACAGCTACAAGCACTGTGGGGACCTTCCTTGGGGGCTGGGAACCTATGAAGAAATGCAGCATGGTTGGAGAAAGCTGACCTCCCCTGAGGTCAGGACTGGATGAGGCAGGAAAGGGGCAGGGCTCAGGATGCTTCCCTGTGCTGTGCTTGCAGAGAAAGAACTGGCGCTGGGGCTTCTGCAGACAGCTGTGGCTCAGCTTCTCCCAGAACCCCTCCCCTCCATCCCAGCAGAGAAGCTGTTGCACCAACTCCAAGAACTTCAAGAACCTCCTCAAGAGACACAGGCTACCTACAGGTAAGCTTCAGGCCCCTCTCCTGTCCTGGTCCCAGAACCAGGCCCTCTCGTGGTAAGCATCTGCCCTCCCTGGCTCAGGGGCCCACCGATACTCCCAGCACCGCAGCATGGGGAAAGGAAGGTGGATCCTTGAAGAAAGCTGGGTAGCTGGAGTAGATGTATCAGTGTTTGTTGGATGCAGTTGAAAATCCTGTCTCAAGGAACAGGGATGTTCTCCTGGACCTCCAGTCCTCACATACTTGTAGAGCAAGTGCCGTGTGCCCTTAGCCATTTCCCCAGCTGAACACTGAGGACTGCAAGCTGCAAAGCTAAGAGGCTGGGAAAAGGCCATGTCAGGAGGTAGGAGCGGTGCAGGCCTGCTGGTCAGGCATGGTGAGCACACTGCAGAGAATGTTTGGGGTGCTTTAGCACAGTTGAGAAAATGGCTTAGGTTTGTGGGAGGCATGTTTTAGTGGGTGGCTGTTATGTATTGTGGATTAGGCTGACCTCAAACTTGCTATGTATCTGAAGATGACAAACTCTTCATCCTCCTGCCTCTGCCTCCTCAGTGCTGGGATGACAGGTGTGCAGCCCTGTAGCCTGTTTAAACAGGTCTGGGGATGGAATGGAGGGAGCTTCCCACATGGCAGGCAAGCATTCTACCAACTGAGCTATGACCTTAGCCCTAAGTTTCATTTTCTTTTTGAGAGAGAAAAAAAAGGACTAGGGCTGGGATTCATTGGTAGACACTTGTACAAGCCCTGGGTTCAAGTCCTAGTGCTGCAACATAGTTAGTGAATAAGCCGTCGGGAGAACACAACAAGGATGCGCTGGGGTGAGAGCCCCAGTCAGCCTCTTCACCCCCTCTCTAAAGCCTTCTTCCAGAGCAATAGAGAAAATGACGTGGCTTTGTGAAGGGCTGCAGCAGCTTACAGCTCACACCAGCTAGAAGAACATTAGCTGCTAGTCCAGAATGAGCCTTCCAGGCAAGGGGCTATGAGAAAGGCCATAGCAGTGGTTGTCTCTTATGACTCCAGACAAGAAGGCCTTGGTTCCCCTGGCGAAAGCAGGCACAGAAGCACAGCTGTCTGGTTCCTGCTCTGGAGGTGCAGGGGGGTGCCTGGGTCCATGCACAAACAGTCCTGCCCCAGGGTCTGCAAGAGGGGTGTCTTGCCTCTCCTGAAAGCTGGCGGCTGTCCACACCTATGCCACCTCCCAACTCCTACCAGTCGGCCATCTATAGACTCAGCCTCCCAAGCCTATCTTTTGTATTTGGTTATAGTCGATCCCAGAGGAAGACGAATACATCACCTCTACCCAAGCCAGGTAAGAGAGAGCCCTCAAGGTGAGTTATTCTGGAGGTACATGGAGGCTAGCTCTGGCTGGATTCCTGCTCAAGGAAATTGGGCCACTACTTCAGGCAGCAAACATTTATTGTGTACTTCCTACATGTCAGGCTCTGGGGAGTCATGAGGGAAAAATTGGGACAAGGTTCTATGTCACCGGGGCTTATATCTTAGGAAGGGAAATATACAAAGGACGGAATCCCCTGGGAGAACAGCAGGTGAATGGGGAGGACTCCCTGCCCTGAGCTACAGAAGGCTACACTTAGGAATGCCTGGGGAGAGCCTACAAGTAGAACTCCCTACCTGGCAGACCAATGGGAAGACAAGCTGGCCAGGGTATCCAGTGGGCAGGGGAGAGCAGTATGAGGGTAAGACAAAATAGTGCCAACCTCTTGAAGAAAGTAGGAAGTTCTGGAGGTTTTGAGCAGGATGTGGTACATACCTGTGGTCACCGTGTCAGGCATAGATGAAGGTATTAATAGCAAGAAGGGACAGGAGAGCCCAGAGAAGAGGCCCCTGCAGTGATCATGGTGTCTTAAACCAGAGTGTGTGGGGGTGGAGTGACAGCTTGGGGGTGGGGGGAGAGAATGCTTGTCAACAGTGGACATGATTCTTCCTTGTCAGGTTGTGGAGGGTCCCAAGTGCCCCGCAGAGTATCTGGTGTGCAGCAGGTGCTTAATTCATGTTTATCATCCAGATGATCTGGGGTGGTATGGCTCACAGAAGGGAGCCAGCGTGTCCCAGGTCCCCAGCTGAACTGAAGGCAAAGCTGACCCTTGACCTTGGCCTACCTCCCCGTCTGTTCTTTTCTCTCTTGCCACTATCCCTCCCATCCTCTAAGAGTACATAGGCAAAGCCCAAGTCCTCCGTGTGCATCCCAGCGAGGATTTAGAGGAGATGACCATGCCAAAGGTGGAGTCAGAGGCAGAGGGCTGAGGAGCCCAGACCAGAGCACAGAGACTTTTGCCTTGCTCAAAGGCAGCTTCTAAGCGTGGGGAAGGGGCCTCTTGTCCCGCTAATTCAACACCAGCCCCTGGTCTCCAACTGTACTCTACTAAATAAAACACTGCCTTCCCTGTATGAGGGAAGGTCTACCCTCCCACTGGAGTGTCTGTGTTTGTTTATTCTAGAGGAGTAGAGTGCCCTTCTGTGGAGAAAGCCCATGGTACCACCCACAGTTAGCAAGGGTCTTCATATCAGTTAAACTAATCATGGTATCTCCCACAGGCATGCTCAGAGACCTGTCTCATAGATGATTCTAGATCCTGTCAAACTGATAACTACATAAACCATCAAGGCCACTATGCCTGGCTCTGGTTTTCACCTCATTTAAAAACCCTTAGCCATTCCACTGGTTTCTTTTTTTCCCAGTGGCAGTTACTGCCCATTGCTGTCTCTGGCTTTATCTTCACCCTATCACATTGTTGCTTCCATCCTTTTTTGGAAAATGTGGCCAAATATAATAGGAAAGTTATCATCTTAGCCACTAAGGAGGTGTGGTGATTTGAACAAAAATGGTCCTCATAGGCTCATACATTTAGATGCTTAGTGAGTGGTACTATTTGAAAGGATTGGGAGATGTGATTTTGTTGAAGTGGGTATGGCCTTGTTGGGGTAGGTGTGGCCTTGTTGGAGGAAATGTGTCACTGGTGGTGAGCTTTGAAGTTTCAAAAGTCCATGCTAGGCCCAGCGTCTCTCTCTTCCTGCTGCCTGTGGATCAAGATGTAAAACTTGGGCTGGAGAGATGGCTCAGAGGTTAAGAGCACTCGCTGTTCTTCCAGAGGTCCTGAGTTCAATTCCCAGCAACCACATGGTGTCTCATAACCATCTATAGTAAGATCTGGTGTACAGGCATATATAAATAATAAGTAAATCTTTAAAAAAAAAAAAAAAGATGTAAAACTCTCAGCTCCTTCTCCAGCACTGTGCCTGCCTGCACGCTTTCATGCTTCCTGCCATGACAATAATGGACTAAACCTCTGAAACTGTAAGCCAGACCCAATTAAATGCTTCTTTCATAAGAGTTGCCATAGTCACAGTGTTTCTTCACAGCAATAGAACACTGACTAAGACAGAAGGACACTGGCTCCTTCACTGTGGGACCATCAACCCAGTGAGACTCTGTAACTGAATACCTTGGAAAAAGGTCATCCTCAAACAATTAAAGGTAATTTTGAGCTCTGGAAGTGGAAAGGCCCAAGGTCAAGGCTCTGGTAGGTTTTGTGTCTGGTGAGACCTGTCACTCTTGGATGGTCCCTTCTATGCCCTTGCAGATTGGCAAAATGGAAAGACATACCCCCACCCTGACCCTTTTTATACGGGTACCTGTTCAATCCCTATTCATGCAGTGAAAACCCTCAGGAGCCAATCCCTCCCCAAGGCGGCCTTTTTCACACTGAGACACACCACTCACCATCTAGTCCAGACTGGCTATGAATTATAGTCCTCCTGCCTCCGCCTCTCACCTGCTGGGGTTACAAATGTGAGCTTTTGTCACCTTGGGACAGTGCTTAATGCTATCACCTTTCAACATATAGATCTGGGTGGGTGGGAAGAAATACTCAAACCATAGCACCCACAAAACAGTAAGCCCCCGTTGCCCTCCCCTTGACTGTTGGAAACCACCCTCCAGTTTCTGTGTCTGAGTGTGGAGCAGTTCCTGGAGTCTCCTAGTAAAATCCTCTTTGTTTTTTGTATCAGGTTTGTTTTTCTTGGCGTAACATCTTCAAGAGTCAAACATGTTGTAACCTGTGTCACCGTCTCCTGTCACCTGTTTTTGTTGATGTAGCACTCAAGCTCTCAAGCCAGACTATCCACCTTCAAGGTCCGAACCCCACCCAGGGTCTCATAGTGCAAGGGATCTAATTCTGCCACCCCCCTTTACTACTCCCAAATATCCACATAGTAAAAGAGTCCTAGACATACTTGCTTCAAAAATAAACCCCAGCTGGCATGAAAGCCCTGGCCCTGGAGGGGGGCCTCTTTAATTTCTCAAGGGGACTGTTATGGGGTGAATATTGGTCACTGTGGATTCTCACTTACTTTGATTCATGGGTTCAGTCCCTGGTCAGTGGCTGCCCTGCTATGTAGTCCTGAGAGGCAGAGATCCCAGAAGCAAAAATGCCATGGTGGTAGTTAGTTCACAAGTTAGATGCACTAGCCCACTCCTAGATTGCTTGGAAACCTGATGCCATTACCTGCCACCCGGGTATAGAGGTATATGTGCCACTACCACGTATATGTGCACACCAGATATAAAGGACTAACCTATCATTACGAGCTCTCTCTGCCTCAGTTTCTCTCCTCCTCTCTGACTTTCTCTCTTAGGGCACCTCCCTTTTCTCTTCTCTCTTTTCCTAAGCTCTGTCTGTCTCTCTCTCCTCTCTCTTCCCAGACCCATACAATAAATCTCTCCATACCAAGTCTGTTGAGTGTGTGTTATTTATTAATTTTTTTTTTTTTTTACAATGTATTCACTTTGTATCCTGGTAGTCCACTCCCTCCCTTCATCTTCCTCCCGTATCCCTCTCCTCTAGTCCTCTGATAGGGGAAGACTTCCTCCCCTACTATCAGACCCTAGCCTATCAGGTTCCATCAGGCCTACTGGATCCTCTTCCTCTATGGGCTGGCTAGGTTGCCCTACCAGAGAGAAATGATCAAGGAGCAGGCAACCAAGTTCATGTCAAACTGTCTCTTCTCCCCTTACTAGAGAACGTACATGGAGACTGAGCTGTCTATGGGCTATATCTGTGTGCATGATCTTTAGTTGATGCATCAGTCTCTGTAGTACCCCTTGGGCCCAGCTATTTTTGGCTTTGTTGGTCTCCTTGTGGGACTCCTGTCCCCTCCAGGTCCTTCTATATCCCCCTTCTTCCATAAGACTCCTACACTTTGTCCCTAAAGTTTGGCTGTGGGTCTCTGCATCTATTTCGATACCATGTGTGGCATTTTAAAATATATTATTACAAGTAGAAGGCGGCTGCTCACTGCAGCCAAGAAGCAGGGAGAGGAACAGGAGTCTGGGACAAGATCTAGCCTCTGAAGACAGTCCTCCCACCCCTGTTGGGCACCTCCCTCGAGCTTTTTCTCGTCTCCAAAAGCTCCCACCACCTCCCAACAACTGGATTCCATCAATGGGTTAATCGTGAGGTAGGGGCACCTTGAAATTTAATCACTTGGAGTGGTTGGATTTAGCCAGTTTAGGGGAAAGACTACCTGGGGTGTCTACTCCTCCTCTTCCAAGGTTTTCATAAAGCCCAGCTCGTCCAGCCTGAACTTAGTGCTCTGGCACAGGATCGACTGATGGGGAAGATAAGTGTGCGACCTTTGCTGGGCCAAGCACAAGTTGGCCACGGGCAGATTTTGTGCTGGTCCCTGAACATCACAGGACACTATCTACCGTTCATCATCACCATGGAGACAAAGGGTTGGACTCATCCCTTTTTATGTCCCTGAATCTCCAACATTCCTTCCCAATGTGAGCCATTAAAATGCCAATTGTTTTCAGGTGGTCATGGTGCATGCCTTTAATCCCAGCACTTGAGAGGCAGAAGCAAGTGGGAGTTCAAGGCCAGCCTGGTCTACAGAGTGAGTTCTAGGACAGCCAGGACTGCACAGAGGAATCTTGTCTCAAACAACATTAAGCAAAACTCAAGTGTTAGCTGTTATGCATATTTCTTACATAAAATGTACCATTTTTTTTGTCATTTTAAGTGCACAGCATAGGAACATCAAGAATGTTCCAACTGCTCTGGAATCTTCCTCATCCTTTCTCAGAATGGCTCTTCTTGCAAAACTGAACCTCTATTGCCATTAAACAGGAATCCTCCTTCCCTCCTCCAAGCCTCTCCCAGATTCCATTCTTAGTTTTGTTTCTGAGTGTTTGGCTGTTCTAGATACCTCATTAAGAGAATTTTTTCCTAACTGGCTTATTTCATTTAACAGTGCTTTCAAGTTTCATCCATGTAGCATATGTCAGGATTTCCTACCTTTTTGAAGGCTAAATAAGATTCCACCATAGATTACATTTGTTGAATTGGTGTTGGTATTGGTGTGTGTGTGTGTTGCTGGAATCAAAGGCAGCCTTTGTACTTGCTAAGAAAGTGCTCTACCACTGAGCTACATTCCCTGTGCTGCCCCTAAACCACACTGTTGATGTATTTATCCCTTGATACATGATATTAAGTGGGTCCTACTTTTGCCTGTTGCATATAATGATTCTCTGGAGATTAGCATCACAGATTAGATATAGATACAGATTCATCTATGTCACATGTCAATAAAAGAACCCAGAATTAACCTAAAGATGTATAGCTAGAGAGAAGGTTCTAGAATTAGATGTTTGTTCTCAGTCTCCCTGATGAGAGCCTTTCATTCCTGAATCTGGACCATTCCCATCCTCCCACCATGAATTTTGTTACAACTGTTTATCACCTATTTATTTTGTTTCTAATATTTCTTTCAATTTGACCATTTTATTCCTAGATATAACTTTGTTCCAAGTGATAGTCTGTCTGCATTGTGGTTTTGGTGTATTTGTTTATAAGTTTCTCTCATACATGAAAATAAATTCTGGGGCTGGCAAGATGGCTCAGTGGGTAAGGGCACTTACTGCCAAGCCTAATGGCCTGAGTCAGATTCTCCAGGGCCTACATGGTAGAGGAGGAATCAGACTCCTTGCAAATTCTCTGACTCCCGCAACTGTGCAAACGCATCCTCAAGTAACCCCCCCCCCAACACAGAATAAAATGTAACAAAAGCTTAAAAATAAGTAGGGTGGGTAGGGAGGGGGAGAGTATCTGGGAGGACTTTCAGGACTTGAGGGAAAGAATGTGAAATAAATAATGTAAAATTTAAAAACCACTTACTCTCAAAAAATAAAATAAAATGTTTCACTGCAGCACCTAAGTTCACCTATTCTGCTACCAGAATATTTT